TCAAGAACAAAGTGCCGTGCTTTTCAAAATGAACGTTAAAAGCGGACACCCACGGTTGTTAGAACAGCATCGGTAGCCACCACACACAATATAACCAATTGAACTGCGTCTGCGTGAAAGCGCACAAATTTTCGAACTGACGTCATGCAAGCGCCGTTCGCAGCGCCGCCATCGGTTGCACACCAGGCCAATTAACAAAATTTTTGAGTTCATTGGCAAGTCTTGTGCTTTTGCTTTTTTGTTTATTCGACTTCAGGTGACTTTTGTTAGAAGCTTAACATTATTTCTTGTATGATAAATCAAATGTTCTTTTTTGCTTCTGTTTATATTAAATTTATTACAGTTTCTCATAAGTGTATTTCTAATAAGACCCGCACTATATCCTATGGCTATGGCACGATACAGCTTGTGCATATTCTGTATAAGATGTGTGTGGAATAAAGAACATTCATTCATTCATTCATTCATTCATTCATCTGTCACGAAAAGCTATCAGCGCCACAAAAAACATAAAGTAAATTTTCTTCAACTGACTCAGTTTCAAGGTGAGGCCTCAACGCTCGGAAAGTGCGTTTCAACCCCGCTTGCAGAACGTGAAAACTAGCAGAGTGCGTCCCGCATTCGCCTAAGACATCTCGAATGCGGAAAGCCATCTTCTTATTCTTCTCATTCCATGTATCGATCCTATCCCGCACACCTTACGAAAGTGTTTTGCGCCTCACCTTGTTTTGCCCTGCCTGCAAGATCAGAGTCAACGCAAGCGTTCTGCACCTTACCTGTTTTTGTTTTTGTTTTTGCACTGCCTCTGTGATCAGCCCCGGTTTGACCACGCGATGGTGTCTTGCGATAACGTCGTCATGTGACGACGCGATGAGGTCACGCGGTAATACCATCACGTGATTTTTTTTTGTTTTGCCTCATGGCGCCGAAGGTCAATTTTTGCATTTCATACGGCATCTAAGGCTTCCGTTTAAAACGTCTTGCGTTGTGCGTGAAACAAAAAATAAAATGACGACGTGCTTCTCAAAAAACGATCAAAGGTCAAATGAAATCGAGTTTCGTTTACCTTCGAACAAACGCTTATGGGCGAAGGTAAAAGAAATACGCAAGGCTTCGTTTGCTTGCGCGTGACCTCGTACTGGCACTTGGGAAGTCGCTAGAATAAGCAAACGCTCGCCTGCATAACTTGGATCCCGATCTCATTCTTGGTCTTCCATCGGAAATCTCTCGAGCTGAGGAGACTCTTCTGTGCCACCTGTGGCTTGACGTGCCCTTCACGAACGCATACTCCTTTTTTTATTGGAATAACCAGCACGTCTAAGTTCAATTTTTCATCCTCTTGCCGCCTTACCAGACGTGCCACATTACATAATTTCAATCTTCTGCCTACTAACAATGTTTATGGCAAACGATTGCTACAATTTGCTGGAGTAAAGGTCTGGAATGATATACCATGCCAAATAAAAGAAAGCAAAAGTTTTGCCTGTGCTCTTAAAAATACTTTCTGCAGAAAAATGAACAGGTACACTAACACACACTTCGTTGTAATCTCCACTTCGTTATGTATAGATTATATGTCTAACAAAATTATACTTGACATGGTATACGTACTTTTATGTATTTGATGTATTGTATACATACAATCCGTTGTTTGCATGAAACAATGCTGCAAGATACTGCAAATGACTTATCACAAATATGTTTCCTTCTTATATTTTGTTTCGATTTTTTTCTTTTTTTTCTTGTATGATTGAAGTGTACTTATAAAATATCTGCTTTGTTAACACAATCTGTTCCTTTTAATGCATATTTATTTAGACCCCCTACTAGCCAGTGTTGTGTATTTTCATGTAATAAGAGAACATGAAATAAAATAAAATGAAATGAAAATGAAATTACTACAGATCTTCCCATATTTTGTGCAAGTGTACCTATTTCAAAACGCCAAGACAAGAACTTATCAAAGCTCCTGTTAGACTGGATGATTGCCCTTTGTCGGAACAGAAAATTACGGGTCATTGGCCGAGTCCATCCTCAGCCCTAATAGCTTTAAAAGCTTTATTGCGTTTTTTTTTCTTGCGGACAACTGGCATTAGCGACAGACTTTGGTGTCGTATTCTTTTTACTTTTACTTTTCTTCTTTTGCCATATTTTTTCTTCTCTCTCTCCGTGTAACACATCTTTTCTGTCATATTCTACTTCCTTCACCCTATTCGCCAGCACAGGGCAGCCAGCCTGTCTATGAACTGTCTAACCTCCCTGCCCTTCCGCTTATTAACTGCTGCCTCCTCCAATGAAACACAAAACGAACTTTAAATTGAAAGACGTTTAAAGTTAAATATGTGGAATGAATATTAAAATAAAATATGCCTCTGTGATCAGCCCCGGTTTGACCACGCGATGGTGTCTTGCGATAACGTCGTCATGTGACGACGCGATGAGGTCACGCGGTAATACCATCACGTGATTTTTTTTTGTTTTGCCTCATGGCGCCGAAGGTCAATTTTTTGGTGTCGTATTCTTTTACTTTTACTTTTCTTCTTTTGCCATATTTTTTCTTCTCTCTCTCTCCGTGTAACACATCTTTTCTGTCCATATTCTACTTCCTTCACCCTATTCGCCGCACAGGGCAGCCAGCCTGTCTATGAACTGTCTAACCTCCCTGCCTTCCGCTTATTAACTGCTGCCTCCTCCATGAAACACAAAACGACTTTAAATTGAAAGACGTTTAAAGTTAAATATGTGGAATGAACATTAAAATAAAATATTTTTTTGAAGATACGTACACATTGTAAGGATCCGAACCGCCTTTCCTTTAAAGTTATTTTCGTGTTTGGTTGGCGTATTCTTTTTACCTTCGATCACTGAAGGTAAACAGTTCTTGTATGCAACGTGAAGGCTGATCGACTGACGTTCTCATGAATAACCTGCATTGTCATAGCCTTGTACTTGAAAACAATGAAGGTATAAGTTATCTGGCCGAAGGTAAACGGGGCACTCTTGGCACCCTTCCTAAATGTATGGATAGGGGGGCTTCCCTGTGCGCCCGCCTGCGGTAAACTGTAAAGCCATGTCGAATACGGGGGAGGCCGAATCCTCTGAGACGGAACACGCACAATTGCGTATTTCCATTTTCTAGGGGCTAAGAAAGGGCAAGGCACGTTGAGCATTGGTTTAGTTCCAACCCCCTGGATAATAAATATTCGCTCATGCAAGTTTGATTTGCAAGGTACTTTCTTGTATGACTACATTGCTGAAGGCAAAAACATGTTTGACGAGTCATTCGGCATGCCACATCCCGCGAGCCACGTCAATAGTATAATATTGCTTCTCTCGTAACGGACACAAAGAAACACTAACATGTTTCTAGGCTGAATTAGATTTAATTCTATTTATTCGAAAACACAAGATGAATGACTTCGGAATAAATATATATCTGATAACAGTTTAATTAGGTTATTACTGTAACACAGAAATTAACGCACAATGAAATTTGTGTTGCAATGGAATATCGGGTGCCTTTAGACAAAGTGGTATCAAGTTGATGCGTATAGGTGGCGTCCGAAAAGATAAAGTAACCTGAAGCTCACTAATGCGTGGTTTCGTCCTTGTAATTAATTACTCGACGCAACGGGCAAGCAACAGCGGGCGTGTACAAAGGCGTACACGTCGGGACTGAAGGCGGCTAGATATCATTTCGACGAGGAAACTTGCTCGGAAACTAATCTCCGCACAGTTCAATTCTTCTCGTAGAAGCGCGATGACAGTGGGTTTGGGTTCCCACTTTCCTGGTTTGTTCGGCTTGAAATCGTTCACGAATTCGCCCGTTACCATCTATTTTGTGTGCTGTCTTTCTTTTTAGTTTTTCCCCCCATGGAAAGCAAGCACCATAAGTTGTAACGAGAAAAAAGATAAAAAGAAAAAAAGTGTTTACCGCGATGGTACAAGATGGTACGTCATGGGTGCAAACAGAAGTCCTTACTCAGAGACGGGACTTCCAGATAGGCGGGACCGTATGCGATAGCGGATATGCTGACGAGTGTAACATATAGGCGAATGGCCGTGCATGGGGCACGGCCTGTCACGATTCCGTGTTTTCCGTCATCACGATTGCGTGCATAGTATTTCGCCGCTTCGGTTTCTCTCTTTTTTTTTTTTCACCACTCAATTTCGACATAAGCCTCAAGCAGGACGGTTAGCATAAAGCTTTTTTGTCTGTTCTTGTTTTCTTTCTCTTTTTTTTTTTTTTTGCGAAGGGGAAAGCATGTTTGGTGACAAGGTGTGCAGACCAACGCTGGTTTCGAAAAGACATTTTTGCGTGTGGGGAATATTTGCCGAAATGTCAATGTTATTCGAACTAATTGCCCATCTTCAGTGATGTGGTAGTATATCTAAGCATGGCGCCATCAGCAGTCCATTGCCTACCATGTATACCTCCAACTATTCGCCGGGCAAGAGTTCATCAGCGTGTTCACACGTCGTGCACGGTTGTTCGAACAACTGAACATTACTGGGAGATAACTCGTGGGAATCGGACGTACACATGGCTGTTATATGCGCGCGAAAAGGCCTAGCTGCTAGGTAAACGGAGAAATTTTGGAACAGTTCAGTAGCACAGAACCTCTCGTGCTGTTTTGAAGTTCCGCAAAGAAATATCAGTTTTATATACGTTTTTCTATTGTGCACACTTCGGGAAAAAGCAAGCGAACTTTGAGGGGGCGCCACGGTCTTGCAAAATTTTTTTCGAGCAAAAATGTTTGGCCGCCATACTGCATGGGGTATACGCAATCGGTGTAAATTTTATCGGCAGAATCTGCGATGGTCGAACTGGGACACTTGGCATGGAATGACCCTATTATTTACATTTACAGGATCGTGCCACTTTTTGTTTCCCGAAGAACTTCCTTCGAGAAATTCATCGCGCATGGCTAATCTCCACAACGCCGAGTCGACGCGTTGTGCTGTTCGCATTGACAACGGTGTGACCGATGCTAGTCAACTTGTGCCGTTTCTCTTTTACTTGTTCTATTCGCAAAAAGCACGCACACATCAAAGCACACGAATGGCGGCAACAGAACACTAAACAAGGAGACGTATAGAAGGTGGATGTCGCACAGTGGTCACGCATGTGGTCGAGCACTAGGGATGATTAGTGAGATGGTGGGAGCCGGTGAAGCTGAGGTTGTCGATCCTGCGACGTGGGTTAGCGCTGACTGTCCCTGAGCACTGGTCCCCGCGGTGAGAAGGCCGGCCTCTCGGGTTTCGGAGGCTCCGAGCGCGACAGCGACGACGGCACGGACTGCAGGCAGTTGCCGTAGAAGAGCTGCGGGTTCTTGTCGTCCAAGAACATGGGGGCGCAGGCCAGGCCCTCGCAGCAGGCGTTCCGGGGACTGCACTATGGGAAGCGACCGAAGGCACGCCATAAGGGTAAGTACACGATACTATACGGGTAAATTAATACGCGAACTATCGGGATACTCCGTATTCATTAGAGGGTAAAAGCTGGTAAATAATGCTTTAACTGTACTACCATGCAATGTAAAATTATGCATGGCTCTAACTGACTTGGCATTGTAAAGACAAATGTACACTGGAGCAGCGAGCAAATACAAAGCGATGCAAAGCAAAGTGAAAATGGGCATAGTTTAGCACAGAAGGAACGTCCTCTTCCCTTGGCCCGTCTCCAACCTTCAACTCTCCTCCCACCTCCACTCGACTCCGCTATTTTATGCTATACCCTAGCTCCTTCGCACCCTCACTTCCATTTTACACCCCTTGCTATACTATACTGACATGGCTATGCTACGATTTCATCCTCTGCCCTCCACCTTCCCATAACATCACTCCTAGCTTCCCTTTATCCCTCCCTCACTGACTATATATCTTATACTATGTTATGCTATGCTTTACTCTCTGTACTCCTCTACACCCTCCTCCGCTACGCTGTGAACATCATCAGACCTGTTTCAGCTCGTATTTGGCACCTCCGCTATAAAACGCGCTCAAAGTTTACGAGTGATTTGCACATTTCTCAAGGAAAAAAACCCCACTGGGAGCTACATTTAAACCGGCGACTCCCTAATTGGCTATTTTATATTAGTAGGGTCTTTAAGCAGGTTACAGTAACACCGTGCCGGGTACGGTTCGGTGTTGCTGTTTCGCTCATTCTCTCTCCCTCGTTGCACTTTAACCATTCCCAGTTTCAGTCACAGTGCGTACCCCGAACGACAGGTTCGCCGTTCACCACGCGTAAGACGGGAGGCGACAACTAGGTGCGACAACCGCAGTGTAATAATTCTTGAAAGAAAACACTTGTGATCTGGGCGTACCTTGGAGAGCTTCCCAATGCGCGTATCCACAAGCTTTCCTGATCAATTGTTTTTCTAATTTACATTGCGTCCTGATTATTGCTACGTATCATAGTGTCTACGTTATACTGTACATAAAAAGAGAATGTCTTTTCGATACAATAACTTAGCTCTGAAAATGGCGTCTGTGACGCTGACCCGAATGTTGAATCTAAAGCATCAGTTTACCTTTCATATGAAATGTTTCACAAAAATGAATGTCTGAGAAATGTGTATAACACTTTCAACGATGTATATAGGGCAGCTCACCTGTTGCCTTTCTGTTCGGCACGCTTGACTGTGCGCTGTCAGCATGGCAGAACACATCACTCCCAGGAAGAACCACAGGACCGCGTATGATTTCATCTGCAAGAAGAGCAAGGAAGCGAGCAATTAGTTAAACGTAGAAAAAAAAGAAGAAAAGCAATCTCAAGTAAGAAAGAAGCGGAGTGACATCTTAAGCCACTTTAAGTGACACCATTTCATTTTTGCACTCACGCACGTGTAACATACTTCATTCTACTTGTAATCCACTATTGTCACTCTCTGAGAATCGATAAAGTGATTTACCGAAGCAGGCAAAACATAACGTGGCAGCATCTCTAGCTAGAGGTGTGTTGAAGGGCATGGTCTGGTTCGCTCGCCCGTGATTCACTAATTGATATACTGTATCCACAAATTTCAGTGTGCTTAATTTACGTGTTGTGTGACATAACTGACTATTTCATTGCTGCTGTCTTTTTTCAGGAGCCATTCCTGTAACGTTTGTCACCATCGTGATGCATGAGTATCTCTGTTTGTAGTCTTTTAAGCGAACCCAAATGTTGAAGCAACCTTTAAAAGTTCCGCTTACAAGAGTTGTTAAGCCGCGATGACAGGAAAACAATACGACAGTGTATGTACGAGCAGCTTTTTTAGGCCACAGCTTCTTCACTGTGTTTCGTAGAACCCTCTCGCGCATCTTGGGATAATCACTAGGTTTCCGTTATGAAAAGGTAGAGAGTGGTGCGGACGTTCTTATATAGATTCCCGCCTCCTCGTGATGCTCCGCAGATGAACCGACACACCTCCTCGACCAACTTTAATACGCTACTGTCCTTTGTAACCTACGGTAGAACTTAAGCCGCCTTTGCTATATCGTTTTTTTTTTAACCAAAAGTCTCTACGCCGGCTGTTTCAAATTCGCTCATGGGATAGCCACATACGAAGGCTTATTTACCAGTTACATTTATTCAAAGTCGACGCATTACGTGACGTCTTCGCTTGAGAGAGGATGTGTCATACCAACCGGAATCGCTGTGAATAGCGGCGCTGGCTAACACCTCCGGGTCGTCAGACCTAGCACACATACACACCCAACGAAGCTGATAGCGAAAACGACACCGTGACAGCAGAGTTGATGAAAGCAACACAGGCGTATTGCGAAGGTGGGGGATCGGGTCTCACCTGTCACGTCTGTTTTTTTTTTTTCACCCGTTTAAATTTGCCCGTGCTTCACCATTTCCGAGTTTCAATTAAAAATAGTGTTTCTCGTTCATCTTTTTGTTTTTTGTTATTCCCCCTCTTGCAATTTAGGGAATACAAAAATGCTTAGTGTTTGTACTTCTTAAATAAAACAAGTAATCCGCGTTGAGCTAAGGGACAAGTGTTTGCCCCGTGAGATAGCCAGGAAGGAGTTACCAAACTAAATATAATGTTGCCTGTTGTAGCGGGAATTTCGAAACCATTTTGATCACAGGTTTCCCTCAATGCACACATAAATATAGGTCGACGGCTGTTTTCGATGTTCTACCAAACAATACTAGGCAATGAATCGAATCCGTGCCCTACAGCTTGCAAGCGCTTCACCTATAATATTGATGGGGGAGAAAATATTACGGCATGTAAGGCATAGCGAAAATTCAGGTCGTACTGATACGTCAGCAACGTCTGAGTCAATGTTCATAGTGTTTCGCGATATTGATACAGCGAGAGTAAAGTTTGTCTCTTCTTGACCGCATATAGCATCAGAATAGTGTAGCATGGTTGTTCATTTAGATGTAAAATGTTCTTTCATTTGGATGTTAACAACATTGACGCCGTTGTACAGGCGTGTTTCACGCAATTTCTTTAAAAGCTGCGGCAAAGCCTACTTTTTGGGTGCTCCGAGGTGTGCATTGATTGCGGCCCTACGCGTTGGCTTTGCCACCTGCAGGAGAAAGCTGAACTTGGTCTCGCGAATATTCGAGACATATACTCAGGGTGCGGTATCCGAAACAACTATGGCACAGTCTCATATGCCATAATGTGTGCATGATCAAATCCCTTTTTTGGAGAATGTGCATGCGTCCGTATTATCATGGTCAAGAGAAACTCGGCTGTGTGTGAAAATGAATTTTAGAATAACTTTTTCCTGGGCGAGTTGGTTCGTAAGTTTGCTGAACATTCTATTTGTGGTGCAATGTTTAGAGCATGAATGCGAGAAAAGAAGAAAGATAGATGAGCGCCAATTTCATGGATGAAGTTGGCGCTTATCTCAATGAAGTCGCGGATAATTATCTGCTTATGGACCGTGGAAGGCTGACCGAGAATACTCACAAGATAACAGGTTATGCTGTGCAAGATCAGACAAAAATTAACCATTAGTTGAGTACGCGACGGTTATAATCAAGAGACCCATGGCTCGGGTATATGTGCATTACAAAAACGAACAAAAAGTAACGTGAGTCAATGTAACCCAAATCAATCTATATCCGGCGATATTGATGGATAGGGCGATAAAGGCAAAGCATGGAAGGCAGCTGCAGTGCAGCCGATCCCGAACAGAATTAGACTTGATTTATTTACGCATTTCGACGCGTACTAACGACTGTGATTCCTGCAATGCACCAAAAAAAAAAAAGAATACAAGAACATTCATGCAACGCCCTTCCAACCATCGAGAGAAGACCTACAAGAAGTCCCGGTGACAAGCCCAAGTACTCAGCTCTACAAGAACGGCTCGCACAGGCTTACAGTATATCACAACAAGTAGAATTAGGGAGCCCGCCCATATCTGGTTCTCAATAGCTTGGTCTCTTAAAAATATATACTTTATCTGCGCCTGATATGCGATCTGCACGCTGCAATATGTGACAACCAAAGGCTGGATAGCGCAGTTGGCCCCGAGCGTGTGCTGGGATACAGAAAGCGTTAGCCACTGATTTGATGCCATGGGTGCGAGTACCTTAGCATTCAATTTCGCAACTGATCTCATCAAAGATATGAATTACGTAAGCACTCTTTTTGTACTCTATTCTTTTTACCGACGTCACTGACTGGAACAACCCCAGGTATTCGTAATCTATAGAGTGCATTGAATACATGATATGACGGGCAACACGAAAGGGATATAACTAAAGGCAAAGAGTGAACCCGTTAAGTAAACTTGAATGAAAGCGTCATTCGTATATTTTTTTTTGCGTAATATAGTTCCTGATCAACAATACTCTGCTCAAGCCGCCAGACGAAAAAATATATATATATCCCACATTCGTCACCGACACGAGAAAAAAGAAAGAAAGCAAAGTGGCAGCGTGCGTACACTGCATACGCCACGCTGCTCGGCGGAAATCGGCGAAATTGATCATGGAGGCCGTCGGCGGTTGTTCACCTCGCGACGAGCGCGCGTATATGTAACGCGCCGGTCTGGCCACGGCACCACGCGAAGGAGACGATTCATTTCCGCATCGCTGGTCGTCGGAGCGACGCGTCGCGAGAAGTGAATGAGAGCCCGATCTCGTTGCGTAAAAGGCCGATAGCTAAACGCCGCCGTAATCCACGACGTCGTGACCGTAGGTCGGCCAACCCATTCATGAATCGACTCTCTCAGACTCGCTGATCGATACTCGGATCAGACCACGAGTGAGAGTGAGTATATTCGGGTTACATTTTTGCGAGACTTAGTTCGACCAGTTGTGGGCCGTCCGGCAGGCCGAGGATGCCGCCCGAGTCCAGCGTCTACAAGCCGCCACCTAAAGCCATTAATACCAATCTGCCGGGCCACTGTGTTCAATGAAGTCTTTTCTCTCTCTCGAGTGAGTCCGGTTGAAGAAAACTTTAGTGAGTCCGGGTGAGACCTAAGTGGGGGCCCATTGTCTTCAATAAAGTCTTTTCTCTCTCTCGAGTGAGTACGGTTAAAAAAAAAAAACTTTACTGAGTCCGGGTGAGACCTAAATGCAAGATGTTATTTTTGAGTGGCTGAGTGAGTAACACTTTTTTTTTTGTAACCAATGATCGCGACGCGTTGTTCTGACGGTAAAGAATACGAAGGCCTGAAGTGGTAAACGTTGAACTAACCATCTTATTGGACGAACCTGAGCCACACCAAAGCGAGTCTGCAGCAACATCATTAGATCCATGAATTGCGGCTCAGTGAAGACACGAAGCCGCAGTAATAGCCGGCAGACCAACGTTAGCCGATGTTAGCCATCGTTTGACGTCGTTGAATCACAAGATGACGGCACGTGACCACTGTTAGCAATCAATAAGTACTTAAAGCAAGTAGTATGGGAATATAGACGGTGACGGTTACCACTCCTCTCTCGACAAATCGTGGGGGCTGTGCTAATAGATTTCTATATGACTTGCACAGGATTATTGATTGAAGATTATTGAATAGTCTGTAGATCATTGCCTTCGTCATGCAATCGACTAACACTCGCTGAGAACGATGATGGTGATGATGATGATGATGATGATGATGATGGTGATGATGATGAAAAAAAAAACGGCGATGAAAGTATAGCGTTAACGGTGAGCACCGCAATCAAAAACTTTACTCGGTGACAACTTTTCTTGGCATTGGAGCGAAGGCTACAGAGCGGAATGGCGGACATCTTATCGCCAGTGAATCATCTTACCCCAACACATCTTACCCCAACAGCGCCAGTATTTTCATCGTGAAATATAGAAGTTTCCCCTTTATTTTCTACGCGGAGCTATTTGAGACCGGACGCAGCTCCCACCATTAAGATAGTCGTATTTACTCTAATTTATTTGTTGTGACCTCGCGTTTTTGAAAGCGCGAGAAAGTCCCGCCTTTTTACATGCACCTCAAACGCTAAGCGCCGCCTGCGTCTACACCAAACGCTGATGATGCGACGCCGTCACTTTTCATAGCGCTACGAGACACGCACCAAAACGAACTACTACGCGTAGTGCTACCTGTGCAGAAGCTCTGCCTCCGTAGCTTTCCATTCAGTGCCAACAAAAATTGTCTCGGAGTATAGACCCTTTCACTGTTTACAAACACAGACCCTTGATGAGTTCCAGTTCCGTCCACCAATGTGCTTAAATAGCATAGGTGGATAAGAAGAGCGTTAGAAGTTAGCCCGCTGATTTTCTAC